AATTGGGCTGAAGGAATCCACTGATGTGTCTAAAAAGCTTATCACCTACCCATTCTACTCTCACAATTCTTTATCTTTATTAATTCCTATGATTGAATGTAACCCGCCTACCGATAGTGTTATGTATATCACAATAGATCTTGGCAATATTTAAATACTCCCCATCAGATCTATAGTTGCATGTGATGGTTCGATTTCAAATGGTTCCAGTGAAGAATAAGTGAATGCAGCAGCGAAAAGGAAAGCAGATTGACCATAAACGGAGTTTACGAAAATACCATTTAATAATCAATTCATTTGTATACATAATCATATGGAACTTTAGAATTCAGTAGTACGGAAGTAGAATTATTTCATATAAACATCAAAACGCTTCATTTATTTAAAACAATTTTCAAGTAGGGTAACTTCAACACATTCTATTATTTGTAATCGACCAAACCAACAATAATTGTAGGGTATTATAAACAAGATACTGATTAATGAATATAATCAGTTTGCACTGACTAGTGTTTGTAATTAGTTACTCACTTAAGCCTATTACTCCCAATGGAACATATGCCGCCAACCAGCATTCTCCAACCCACTCTGTCCTCAACCTTCCTTTCTAGTTCTATCCAACTTTTGTTCATTTTTTTCATATCTGTCTCCATTTCTCGGCATAATGTGTTCTTTGGTCTTCCTCCTCTCCTTTGGCATTCAGGCTTGTGACGCAGTTGGGTGCTTTACTCAATTTTTGTCCTATCCACTTTCAGCGCTTCCTCCTGATTTCTTCCTCCACTGGAATCTGGTCTGTTGTATCCCACAGTAGCTTGTTGCTGATAGTGTTTGGCCAACGGATCCGAAGTATTTTTGCGTAGACAACTGTTAATCAACACCTGTATCTTCTGGATGATGGCTTTCGTAGTTCTCCACGTCTCCGTCCCATACAGTAGAACTGTCTTGACATTTGTATTGAAAATTCTGATGTTGGTGTTAGTTGACAGTTGTTATGAGTTCCAGATGTTCTTCAGTTGTAAATATGCTACTCTTGCTTTGCCGACCCGCGTCCTCACATCTGCATCAGATCTACCGTGTTCATCAATGATGCTGCCAAGATATGTAAAGGTTTTCACATCATCCAAAGCTTCTCCGTCAAATGTAATTCGATTGTTGCATGCTGTATTGTATCGGAAAATCTTGCTTTTACCTTTGTGTATATTGAGAACTACTGCTGCTGAGGCTGCTGCTACACCGGTCGTTTTCTCCTGCATTTTTTGTTGCGTGTGTGATAGGAGAGCCAGATCATTTGCGAAGTTTGAATCATCCAGCAGCACCATAGTTGTCCATTGTATCTCGTGCTCTCCTCCAGATGTTGATGTCTTCATGATCCAGTCGATCACCAGGGGAAAGAGAAAGGGTGAGAGTAAGCAACCTGTCTGACACCAGTCTTTACTTCAGACGAGTCAGTGAGTTGACCTCCATGCATGATTTGGCAATTTAATCCATCATAGGAGTTCCGTATGATCCAGCTTGTGCCTTGTCTTTTTCTGCTCTTGTTCCTTTTTTCTTCAATCTTATCCAGTGTTGTTCTGGTTGTTAGAAGGTGCATCGACTGTGTGGCTTCCGAAGGAACTCGACCTTCACCACGAGGCGTCATAACTCTTCTAAATGAAGACCTTCTAACTCCAGAGCAGAGTTTAAATGGCTTGAATATTTTTTTCTGGTTAGCGTTTTTTTGCAAGTTAATCTTCTACGGGATGTGGTCACTAACCTCATGTTTAACTTTGCTCCTTTATCCGGGCTTGGGACCGGCAGTAGCCTAAGAGGGGCTACAGGCGGATTTAATGTTGTTAGTTCTGAATAATTAAACATCAACTCAATGGTCGGACAATATTGTCTGAATTCAATAAACGAGAGATAATCCACAAATATCTAGAAAGATTTGTGGGTATATATATATATATATATATATATATATATATATATATATATATAAAGAGAGAGAGAGAATTTATAAACTCATGCATAGTCACAATGTGATCATTAGCCAAGTGTCTTGATTGAGATCACAAATCTATCAACGTTAGACCAACATTGAAAACTTGGAAACTAAATGACCGTTTCGTCCTTGTGTGGGACTCCTCAGTTGTGCGCATTCACAATCCCGCACGTGGCAATCGAATCCAGGACCTTCGGTATGGTGCCTGAACGCTTAACCTTTAGACCACTAAGCCGGCATCCAACGGCATTAATGTCTAACTTCAACTAATCCACGGAATTGTGCGACCGTTTTCCATTGTCTTAGGTAGATAACGGCCTCACACTCGACACGGATTAGCTCCACTGGTCACTGCTAAGTATCATTATATACCTGTAATAATAAACGTTGAGTAGTAACAGAAAAACAGTAGAATAATTTTCACTTTCATCTTTATATTATTGTTTGTTTAGTGACCAATTTCAGTTTGTTACTCTTGTTGAGCAACATATAAGAATCAAAACAATACTGAGATAAAATGCCGAAATAAAGATGATTATCACGTTAATTTTCACGTGTAATTCACATTTTTCATTTTCATTGTGGTTCCAAGATGTTTTTCTGCAAAAGAGTTACAATATAAATTGTTCACTTTATTTTAACTTTTGTAAAAGTTTGACTTCTTTCATTGTCCATAAATAGGACTATGTTTGATCATTCTCTTTTGGCACATGTGTACCTTGAATGAATGATTTTCTATTGCCTTTTAGTTACAAGGATTTCGGTAAATTTGTACTGTGACTGGCTATCCAACCCAAGATACACTGTTAATGTTATTTGAGACTATTTAACTGAAGATACTTGTAACATTACATTGTTGATGTTGACACTGTAATAGCAACCGATCGCTCATTGCTTCAAATCATAGTTGTAACTGTTTCGTTCCTAAATTTTGAAGCATAGTTGGGAATTTGTTTTAGTCTGTCTATCTTTTAATTTGAACTGTATTGATGAAACATAACAGAGTTCTGTGCAGTGGGTGGTCTGAAAAACTTGATTTTAGTATACAAATTAACTACAACAAATGTAGAACCTCTGGGAGAAAAATCTTAATCTTAAGATATACAGTCGTTTGCCTTTTTATCTTAATTCATTATTCTTTGGTAGCACTGTACATTATACATAACACATGGGGACTAGTACAAGATTTAATGATCATGAAGTGAACTCAATGTCATTGCATTATTGAACGAGAATTCCGTAGTATGAAATTTGAAATTCATTTAGTTCATGTGGCATAGTGTGAATTTAAGAATTCTAGTTGGAAGTTAGTTGAATCCATAAAGAAATGATGACTTACTAATGATACAGGGTAGTCGGAAGAGTACCTTACTTGATCTAAATTTCGTCCAAGTCGGTACTCAACATTAATGTGTACCTGGAATCTTGAACTAATTGATTCTACCTACGGATTCAAATATTCGAAAACAGATTTGTAGTCCAAGATGTTAATATTCAGCTATTTAGGCAGTGACTTATTGTATGGCCGAGGATTTTGAAACTAACTGATTACTGAGTAGTCTCCAATGATATGCTTGTCTTATCAGTCAATACCCGAATAAATCAATGTTAGTGTTTTAGATTGAAGCTTGGTGACGTGGGATAGAATGCTATAGTGGACATCAGTTACCTTAAGATTGGAAGTAACCTTGCTGACTAGTATGAAACCTCAATCCAGGGTATCTTGCTGACTACCTCATATCTCCTTAGATTAAAGCAGCGAACGAGATCTCAAACCATTCAAACTTGCGGTCACATTACAGCTTGTTTGACAAAACCACGTCATCACTGGAGGACTTCATAACTATGACATTGATTTCTACTCAGTTATCAATATATAATAATACGTTCAAACAAATGGTAATGGCTTGATTGAAACCCTCAATAATTCTTCTGAAAAGTCTTCAGAAGCCGGGAGAACTTAGATTGTACTCCGACTAATTAGGGTCCTTTGAAAAATTCCAAGAGGGTTCTAGAAAACGGGAAATCGTATTTTCATTATCCTGATTGAACAACAACCTGTCTCGCCACCGTATTTATCATGTTTCCCAGAAGCTTCCAGAATCTGAAGGTCGCATATAACTTTGTAAGTACCCTCGTTGCCTGTACACGAACTAACTAATGAAGTGATGCTTCTTGAATGCCTTCTGCTTTATATTGTGTTCAGTACTGGGAAATTATCGGACTGATAATTTGTACATGATATCTCGATTCTTCTGTACACCCCTATTTGCTCGATAAATTTCAGCCAGATAAAATATGAAAGATAGTACTCCGATCAATGATTACGTTTCGATAAAATATAAGGATTGAGTAGTAAGACTATAGAGATAAAAACATCGATGGGACTTCATTCTCGATTTTCTCAATAAATACAAATTAACTACTATCATTGTGCTTATTCATGTTTGAAACAGTTTTCAAGTTCTAGAGAAATAAATTCAGCTATGCCGAAAATGAGACTAGTATCATCAATGACAACATATGATGGTTTTATAACATCGTAAATTGACTAAAGTTAGAACTGTAGACGTTCAGTAGTTCGAAGGTTAAGTGATTGCAGTGAAGTTTGAAAGTAGTGAGTTCGATCCCTGGTACAGCCGTAGGTAGGCAGCGCTACTGAGTCACATACTAGGAATGACACAGTTGCCCAATAATTCTTCAACTCGAACTGATTATCCATCTAAAATTACTCTGAGATATAAAGTAAAAGTTGTGAGCGTTGTTAATCATGAAAAAGAGGGTTTCTTAACCGTCCAAAGAAAAGCTCATTTTAAAATCCTAAAATTTCAACCCCAACTGGACTCCAACTTGCTAAATATTAAATCTTTAGACTAAATGTATAGCTGAATGTCTAGTATAGGTAATTATGAATGAATTTGTAACTAATACTTAATAATAACGCTGTTGAATACTCATTTCTCTAGAATGGGGAAAAATTTTTAAATTGAATTGTAGAAAACTATCAAAAACTACTGTTCTAATTTTATTTTCTACCAAATATTAATAGTGTTAGTAGTAGTATTACTAACTATTAGACAATTTACTCCAATAAGTTGAACAAAACAGATTTTTGGAAGCTTGTTAAGAGGGAGGTAAAAGTAATAAGGGGTAGAAAGTATACAATTGTACAATTAGTAGTAATACTAATCAACAATGTAATAATAAAAAGTCTATTTATTTAATACCAGTACTTGTATTAATTATAATAATTTTAACCTTTACAATGTATATACTACTTAAATAGAACATGTTTGATATTGATAATTATGAAAATTGTAAAAGTGTGCAAAACAGAAGAAATTGTGTGCGTTTTTATTCATTCTACTCTCTTATAGTCAATAATTCTTAAAGTCATCACAAATATATCATTAATACTAATACATGCTGTCACAATAGATAGTAAATGGATTAAAATCGTTTAAAGTAAAAGAGAGTGAGATGTGTGTGTGTGTTTTTTGAGTTTTGTATGTACAAATATAAAAGGAAGAGATAGAAAAAACACATGAAATTCCTAATTATGTTCAATCTATCTTGTAATAATAATGATAATAATAACACATCATAAACTTAATAATCCATTGATTCATTTACAGTAAACAGATTTTGTTTTGTTTTGTAAGATTGTGATTTTACTCTGACAAGTGAAGAAAAGTGAAGAGTAATACACAATGTTGTTATTACAAAACTTCCATGTTCAATTTTACATTGTGTTAATTTATGTAATTTTGTTGAATCGGGCTAACATTGATGTTGTACTTTTAATCAATGGTGTTGACGACGGTGTTGTTGATAATAACGTTGATGCCACTGACATATTAGTATTTGTTACTATCGTTGATAAAGGTGTTGTTAAACGAGGAGATGGTGATGATGACTCCGATGATGATGGTGATGACCAGTGCTCTTTATTGTAATCGTCTGTTGGTCTACAGTCGAAATTATCTTCCTGTTGATTGTGTTGATATGATGTATGGGTTGATTTTATTTCAAGTCGTTGACGATGACGTTGATGGTCAGAGTGGGGGTGACGACGATGATGACGCTGATGGTGAATTTTTCGACTAAATGTTCCAATCTCCGATGACGGTGAGCGTGAAGAAGCAGAAGAAGGGGAAGATGAAGATAAACACGAGGATGAGGATAACGATTTTGAGTGATGTGAACTATTTACAACAGATTCATATTGTTCACTTCCATCAGGAGTATGAAGCAGATCATTTCTAATTTCTGAAGATAATTTTGTAAGTAATTTCGATGAATTATTATCTAATGTTGATAAATTTTCAATTTCTTGTTCAGTTTCTGACTTTGGAGAAAAACAATTTGAATTAATTATTTCAATATTTTGCCTTTCCTCATCGTCTACATCTAGTTCACCTTCTTCATTTACATCGATTTGTTCTCCTTCTCCTCTACTATCATCGTTATCTTCATCGCCGGCTGTTGTTGAAGAAATTTTATTCGGAGTTGAATCGTGCCCACACTGTTCTTGTTCAAATTGTTCATGTGAAAACTGAAAATTATCACGATTATTATTATTATTATTATTATTATTATTATACTCCTCACCAATATTTGAGAAATTCTCCTTAAACGTTTGTTGAAATATACTAGAATTTAAATTTTGCATAATACTAGGTAATTGAAATGATGCATTTAATAATGAATGAGAAGTTAAACTTTGCTCATTCACCGACGGTGCTAACGTTGTTGCCGTTGTTGTTATTATAGCTGTCGACGATGATGTTGGTGGAAATAGAAAAGGGAAAAAGTTGAATAAGTTCTGTGGAATTAAACTGGGATTGAATATTGAACGACTAAGATTATTGAAATAATAATTATTGTTATAATTAACATTATTACTATTATTATCATTAGTGATGGTGTGATTTTGTGATTGCATCTGACAAATATCTCGGTAATTGGATAAATTTGACAAAATTTGATTACAATGATCTGTGATTAATCTATCGGAATCTTTAATTTGATTAGTAATTAATGAATTTGATGTTTGTAACTTATGCATATTAGATGGATTTATTCCGGACGTCGAAATTGGCTCTTTAGAAGGTTTCAAACCAAGTGAACGTGGTATACGTGATAGTAATTGTGATCCAGCTGCATTTGATTTAAACCAACTATTACAAACTCTATTTTCATTTTGTTGTTCCCAATTAACATCTGGACATAGATAGAATGGCTCGGAAACTCCACGAGCTTCTAATGGTCTTAAGTTGGCATATATTTCAAATAATTCTACACAATTAAATGGAAGAGGCTGACGTTTAGCACTACCGGTACAACTAAGTGGTTGTGTTTTTGCTAATGGATCATGATTTGCAGCACCACCACGTGTTCCACCATAACCACGACAATAACGTACTTCGGCGGATTCAAATAATGGAGTGAATTTAATCGCTTTAATTCCATTATCATCAGTGATCAGTTGAAATTGACCCCAAACTAAATTTCGATGTCTTTGTGTACCACCAATATTGAATTGAGTTCTGTTCATAAGCCATAAACTATTCAGTATTGCCTAAAAAGTAAAAAATAAAAAATATCTTTCCAAGTCTGATTTGGGATTTTTTATAAAAAGAATCTCACGTTTTCCCGTTGTTGATACTTAAGAATGCAGCCCATCAGTCTGTACTGAAAAATATACATTCTCGATATTACCCCTATGTATAGATTTTGGAAAAGTTGGGATAAAGCTAGAAGCAGAATTTAGGAAGTATTTTTCGTCTTATTGGTGTCTCATTAGCATCCCGGTGTTGATTTTCATACTGCTACTAGAACCCAGCAGGACATTAAAAACTATTTACTAATACTTTCCATACTGATTGAACAAGTTAATGATTATCTGGGGACCCAGCAGCTCAATGAATAACCCGTAAGAATTCAAAACTAAAAGTGTTGCGTTCGTATCTTAATATGATTATCATTATGGGTAAAGCGTGTGTATTTAGTTTATGAATGTCCAATAGGATAGAGTCCAATCCTTCAAGTCGGCTTTAATTAAATGAGCTCAAATAGAGCAAACAATAATTTAAATAAATGAATTAATGAGAAAGGATCGGATAGTCAGAAATCAGCTGATTCCTTGGCTGACCAAAGTAACTTGTATAGGTTAATTTCTTCGTATAAATATATTTTACTTCTTCAGTTATTTTTTAATACGGAACCGAATATAAATTCAATGAATTACTAGAATTTCTAGAAAATACTAAAGAATTATCTAGTCATTTGCAATTACTTCATGTTTTCTATATTTCATCGATGCATTGGGCCAATCAGAAATCGACTAAATGGTAAGTGGATGTAATTGGTCAAGAAATAACTCTCATTTCTAAGGGATAAGAGATATATACCACCAAAATGCTCATGATTTAAGAACAGAATATATTTTCATTCGAATACTAACTCATTTTTATTTTCCTAATAGCTTCGAGAAAATATGTTCAAAATGTAGTCGAAGTTGTTAGATTTATACTACTGCCATATATTCTCCAGATATAGAATGTCTACATATTCAGGATTATTAGAATGATTCTAAATCCCGACTTTTGTATGAATGCTATTAGAATATATAAGTATTGTTATTAATAGGCGGCTTATCAGAATAATCTAAACTGAATAGCCAATACACAGCTTGATTATGTGTTTCTACATTGAAAGTAATAAACTACTACTGTCAACAGAGAATTAAATTTCAAATCAATACCTCTGTATATATTGTGTTTTGACTATTGAAGCTATAACTTAATGCAACAATTAGCTACAACCATCCATAAACTTGCTAATACTTCTTAGGAAGTGGAAAAAATCTCTCTCAATAGATCATCAAATAGCGAGTGACCTACACATGCACACACGGGTGCATATACAATCGAACTCAAAGTATTTTGATCTCTAGAAGAATATGGTTCTTTTAGATATTCATTTTCTCTCAATAGTTTAAGAAAACCATGACAAAATGAATTGTTCAGTTATTATTTTAAAATTGAACTGGTTCTTTCAAATTATGCTCCTACTGAATCAAATGAAATCACATTTTTGTTTTTAGATGGAAAGTTTGTATGAAGATGGCCCAACTTAAAGACAGTCCTTTATCACAGACTAACTATAGGGACGGAGAACTAGTACTTCTACGTTTTATAATGCGACCACTAGTCCTGAGTAACTCAACATCGTAGAAACTATATTTTGATATTAGATTAAGTTAATTAGACTCATTAGCTAAGTGGATAAAACGTCAGACTTTTGTGGACATTTAAAGTGAAAGACACGAAGTTCGAGTCTCTGTGTAAGCATTACACTAATGTGCAGGCACATCCAGTTGACTAGTCTGAAATAGGAAAAAATCGCGTCCTAAATTCCACTGCTAACCACCATCTAATTCTGCTTAAAATGCTTATGACTTAATAGCAATATCAAGGCAATCTGTACAGGATGAACATGATCCAAAAGTGATTGGGCAGTTGCAGTCCATAAAATTCAAACAACCTGAACAAATGCTTTAGATAACAGAAGACCTTGGATCTAGAGTTTCCTTTCAGTTCTTGTTGTCGTCCGAATTGGTTATTTCCAAATTGGAAGAAAATATTCCTTGTTGACTAGCCTCAACTAACGCGGCACCTACTGTAAAGTCCTCAGATCATTTGGATTCAATATTCTAACTTATACCACTTAGATTTGATACAATTAACTAATAAAATGTTTATCATCTTATTACCGTTTGCCTCTGGAAGGAGAGCAGGGATAAAAAATATACCACCTTAGAGATAAAACACAAGCACATATAAAACTTTATTTCAGGTTATTGACTTCTTTGGCTAATTAATTGTGAAACAAATCAGTCCTGTATTAATTTCATATAAAAAAGACAAAATTAAAGTTTCATATTACGTTACATTTTCTATGCAGATGAATATCAAATTTTCCAGTTTAATTATCAGACAGATTGTAGTAACAACAGTAAATCATATTACAATATAAATATATTATATTGAATAGATTAGTATAGATATATCATGCTGTGTTAATTCAGTTTTCAAATCTAACATAAATGACATTGGCTACTTTCTTTGAATTATGTTAAATTGCTATTAATGACAGCAATGTCTTATATGACTAAGATAGGTTCATATAGATTGTTCATTTATATAATAATTTTTCAGAACAAATGAAGTCTCGCAATATTGCTACTTGACTGAACATAAGAAATTTTAATAAATTGTTTTTAACTCAATAATCTGACAGTAACATATTCTTTGTGGAATGATGACTCAGTAGTTAGGAAGTTCAAATTTCAGTAGCGAAATGGCAGGTTTCAACTTCACTTCATATATTTTGGTTTAAGTAACCAAGTGGTGTAACTAGTCCTCACACTTATAGAGTGTGACTTTAAGTCTAGTACATCAATCTCAACTTAGCGAAGGAATTAAAAACCCGTAATAAATAATCTGTAAAGCCTGGAACTTTTGGGTTTGGTCTCTGGTAGGACCAGGTGGTATACATTTCTGAGTAATTCTACGTTGAAAACAAGACAATACTAGTTTAATACTCCCAGATTTTCAAAGGCGTATGAAGTTAGAATCACTCCTTATTATGAAACTACATTTATATACTTTTTCGTAAGCAGTCTTGGTTATAAGTGAATTTCAATTGGGATATCAATGGAAACCAGTAAGCACTGGATAGTTATTTCCTCTTAGTATAGAACCCGTAACAATGAATATCTTCTTGTTCATTTATAAATTTAATTGACTCTAATAATAATCATGAATAATGAAATAAAACTAGTTGTTTCTAGGAAGTCATTCGGTTAGAAATTCAATATAAATAGACAGTTATCCTTAAACAATGGTGGTTTGTTTATGAAGACATTTATCATTTATCCTTGATTATTGATTTGTCAACTAATAGATCATTCAGTACTACGGTATGTTAATGAAATTTAAAATTTACAAGTTATAACTTTCTTGTATATTTGTACATTCTGAGGAGGTTAGCCTGGGTGGTTCTCTCATCTGGAATTTATTTAGTTAAGATTTGAGAAACGTAATTGTCTAAAATTATAGTTTCGGTTATGTAATCCATTGCGGTAATTTTCTGAAATCATTTCAGACATTATTAACATATGCTTACTGAAATATACATTTCCCTGACATGTGTGCAGTTTAAACCAATGTCATTTGTAATTAATCAATTGACTGAACCAATTTCACATTAGATACATGATTAGTATCTTTCGTTTTATCACATATCATATAATATTTAGCAAACACAACTATTTTACTTCTTAGATAGGAGAAATTCATCAATTAGTCATTGAATATTAGTCTCATTCTAGTTGATGTTAGTTAGTAAGGTCTATCTGCAATTTTAACAAAAATGGAGCTTTCCATCGGATAAAAATTTATCATAGACAGAAATGATCTCATTTAACTATTCAGACAGTGACCGATCTCGATAGACTTTAGTCATCATTTAACGATGATTCATTGAGACTAGATTAATTTCATGAACTCAATATTGTTCATTATACATATTTTTAAATGTCAGCTGCTTTTATCTCAAACTGTGTTCTTAAGAAGAAAACTGAATACTTAGATTGTTTAAATAAGCCTATTCAATGTTAACTTATTATTAATTACTCGCTAATGTTCTTTTAAATTATATTGAAATGTATAAAGAAACTGAGTAATTTATTTGTAGTTTGAACTTTGTTTGGATTTTAATAACTATTTAATGCTGAATTCAGTTCTTACCTGAGGATTATCTGTACCAAGTATACGAGCTTTAAGTAGTTCAGCTGAAGATAATCCATTTGGATTGGAATTATGCTTTCTTGTATAATTAATTGGTCTATTCTCTGGTGTTGAATCATTACCAACTCCGGATATACGTTTGTTACTGTTGTTTTGATTATTGGCTCCATTTGCTGGATAGGCATATACACCATTAGTTGATGCACCAGATCTACTGAGTGCACGTAATTCATTTAAACGTTGATTCAACACAGATCGTGTTCCAGAAAATGCATTACCTTTAAGCACTGAATGTGAATAGCCATGATGCTAGATAAATTTTTTTGTAAAGAACCAATATAAATGATTATTAGAAAGCTGTTAGAATACGTATTTATTGTACTCTATATGATATTGAATGGGAAATAAAAACCAAATGTGGATTAAATTTTCTAGAAATAACTTCTCAAGTCAGTCAGCCACCCAAAAATCCTAATTTCGTTAAATAATTAAGACATTTAGGGAGTGAAACAGTTATCACCAGTAACATTAAACGATAGATGGACAAAAAACTATCAAAATGATTTAATTCGCGTTATATCTAGAGCTTAGATTCTTGTTATGCCGCGTACTACTAGACTACTTGAACGATCGAACCCGCAACGTCGCAAGAGAGAAGACAGAAGACTAGTAAGTAGGAATGTTATTCCCAAAATAGTGTTAAATATAGTACAAAGATCTCATGCATTTATAGGTATCATTACCAAGTTTTGATTTGATAATTTTGAAATTTATTTATTTATTCTCTGAAGAAGTGGCTTACACTAAGTCACGAAACGTCAGAAAATCTAATTTTTCTACTCATTGGGATATTACAAATATATTATTTATTTATCATGTATTTATAGTTTTTTGGCTTAAAGTAAATCATCATTTCGGACAACGAATAGGCACATAGGTGGTCCTTCTTATTCATCCAATAGAGAAGTTACACGTCAACATCCTGGAATGTTCCCCTAGCGGTGATTGGATGGAATGTCTTCGGCTCTTTCTGGGCTTCTTGAGGCTTCCTTGAGTTTGCCAACGAGCCATCCTTACAATTGACATCGTATCATTGAAAAAAGACCCGACGATTCTAGTGATTAAATGTTTGTTGTAAGATCTGAAGGTCATGAGCACTATCGTGAGCGAAATTGTGGGTGCATACCGCCTAGAAATTCCGAGTTCAGTCTATGGAGATTATAGTCTACAAATTTAACTAGTCTTTACAAGACTCCCTCAACTAAACTATAATAGTCACCCTACTAGTGATATACTTCAAGATGTACAGGTATTTAATCCTAGTATGATACTTCTGAACAGTATGCACGCATGACTCCATTAGGGATCAAACCAATGACCTTCGGTCTCCTAACAAACACTTAACCCATAGAGATGGCATCCAATAGTTTACATGTCTAAGTTCAATCAATCCACGGTGCTACTCAACCATCTTCCATTGCCTTTGGTGCACATTCGTCTCAAATTCAATAGATATTTAGTAATTAATATATCTAAAAAAAACTACATAACCTTAAATACTTATTGAATTACGTTGATTTATTTTCAACTTTATCGGTCATCATATCACTATCAGCACGATTTTTTACTGTGATGTAATCTGATCAGATTACAATGTATCAAGAATATTTACACTATCCAAGCATTCATTAAAACTGATATAGAAATGACAAAATTAGTACTCTTTTTATGTATGTGTGATATATTTCCTTCTAAATCTGTGTGTGATAAAAGTGCTGTATTTGTATGTGTTTACAGATGGTTGGATGTATAAATATATCTGCAAACGAAGTAACATAAATAAAAGGATAGTTACACAGGGTACTTTATATGAGACGATAAGAACAACTGGTATAATCAGTTAAACCTCCTTATTGATTCGAATGGAGATTACATTTCAGAATGTATCAATTCATTCTCTATAGTGTGTAAAAGCTATTTCACATACAAGCTCATATATGTACACCAAGAACTTTGCCAATATATGGATAGACACCCTGAAGTATAATCACATATATATGCACTCGCACTGAAATATCCTTCACTTTTAATGATAACCTTTAGTCATTATATCTTCAATGTCAATAATAATACACTTTTACATATTTGAATTTACTTTTTCACCCCCAACAAACAAACGAAGAAAAAACAAATTAGTTTATTGTAGTCTAATTATTGTAGTAGAGTAGATTAATTATCTTTAAGTTATATACCTTAATATTACCGTGATTTTCTTTCTCGAGTAAGCATTTCATGTAACATACACATACACATAATGTTGACTAACAACTCACAGTACTTTATTATAGTTTCTTATGGATCTAATTAACCAATCTATGTTTTTTTTCAAAAAAATGTTATCTGTTTGATGGAGTGTTGTTCTCTGAGCTAGATGGTTTAGTTGTGAAGCTTTCGTTGTTCTTCTGAACAACATCATCAGTACAAACTTCAAATAGACGTCTTTAACTTTAAGTAATAAAAACTGAATCACTAAATAAATATGATTATTTATTTTGGCCTAAATTTTGACTAACATTATATTTTACTGTAAAATTAATGAATTAATCAATCTCTATATACGTATCATACATGTATGTGTGGTGTACGTGTCTCTATATACGTATGTGTCTGTATCTGTCTGCATAACATATGTTTTATTTTGTATGTCTACTAATCAATCTGTCCACTCGTCTGTTTGTCTATCTAAAATATTTATACATATTCATTTAGATTTATATAATAATAAATTTTGATGTTATTAATAACGTTATTATTATTATTATTATTATTAGGTAGTTGCCCATATTTTCTTCTATTTTTTCTTTGAAGAAAATAAATGTTATTGTAACAAAAATAGAATGAAACTATATAAGGTGAAAATATATTCGATCATGATTTTAATTAGAATAGTATATTTATTAAAGAGAAAAAACAAAAACAAATAAACAATTATACAAATTATTAGAAGGGGTTTTGTGGAGATTTGGTATGTTTCATAGTTGAAAGCATGAGTCAATTGAAGCTAGACCACCGAGGAAAACCTGGAAACACTGGACGGCCGTTTCGTCCTATTATGGGACTCCTCAGCAGTATTCTATCGGTTAAGGGCTTCGGCTCGAAACTGGTAGGTCCTCGGTTCGAATCTCGCGAGAGCGGGTTCGTGGATGCGCACTGCTGAGGAGTCCCATAATAGGACGAAATGGCCGTCCAGTGTTTCCAGGTTTTCCTCGGTGGTCTAGCTTCAATTGACTCATGCTTTCAACTATGAATTATATAAATAATACAAAAATTATTGATTTTGAAGAAGTAATAAAATTTAATTAATGAAAACTACAATCACAAAAATACTTATTATAATTGGATAGTTTTGTAAATGGATAGATATAATTTTGTTACTCAAAATTATATTCACTATTTATTCATAGGTTCATTCTACTGTAGAGTTGTAAAATAGTTAGAAGTCAGTTAAGTAATCTTCTGGTTAAAAGATATAAAAGGGATAAATGTAGAAGAAAGTTGATTTCACCAAGGATTGATAATAACTAGGAAAATAGTTGAAAGCATGAGTCAATTGAAGCTAGACCACCAGGGGAAACCTGGAAGCACTGGACGGACATTTTGTCCTATTGTGGGACTCCTTAGCAGTGTGTATCCACAACCTCGCCACACGAGGTTCAAACCCAGGATCAATCAGTCTCGCGCCAGAGCACTTATGATTTCAATTATGAAAATACTGAAATCTCCACAAAACCCCTTCTGATTATAATCATTTGCTCACTAGTGACTGACTTCAAAAGATGTTTCCTGGAGTTCTAGTGGAAAACAGTGATCAGTGGAGTTCAACCACGTTTGAAGACAATTGGTGAACGGACGCTCAAACTTCGTGGATTGGTTGAGGTCAGACATTAACACCATGGATGCCGAACAACTCAGTGGTCTATCGGTTAAGTGCTCTGGTGCGAGACTGGTAGGTCCCGGGTTCGAATCTCGTAAGGCGAGGTCGTGGATGCGCACTGCTAAGGAGTCCCACAATAGGACAAAATGTCCGTCCAGTGCTTCCAGGTTTTCCCTGGTGATTTAGCTTCAATTGACTCACGCTTTCAACTATGAAAATACTAAATCTCCACAAAATCCATTCTGATAACTAGGAAAATATTTAAAGACCAGAGAGTACTAGATCTTTAGTCCTAGTCTGCGAGACTCCTCAGAAATACATACTTATAACATTTCCAGAGATGGAATCTTGATAAGCTTCAGGCCTTACAGTAACCAAATTTAACCTTGTAAGTACTCAGACAATTAGCCACCGAGTTAGCTACTTAGAAAAATTAGTAAATATAATGTTTCCGTAGTTTTTAGCTTGATATTGAATTTCCTGAACTAATAATGAGATCCCCTTACCTGTAAACAACTGTTTAGTTACATCACAGAGTGATTGAAATACAACATTATAGCTATTAAACACCGGATGAGTAATTGAATGATATCCTACTGTGTTGGAGACAAATAGATCCTAGTTTTGAATCTCGTGCAAGATTACAAGTGACTGTTTTATAGTTTTGTAAGGTTTATCGAATAATCTTAGTTCGAAATGAAAACGATAACTTTTATTCATAGGACATAGAAAGTACGCTAATCCGTCAAGTAAATACATGAACTGGCGTAGATAAAACTTCATTTTACAAAATTCACGGTATCGCTTTTCAAAATATTCCTAATTCATTGTAATACTTATTATAGTTGAAAGCGTGAGTCAATTGAAACCCCTTCATTGTAATACATTTGTCTCATCCATATTTCCATTGTTCAGCATATCCCCGGAAGTTCTTAGAAGTTCAACACTTCGCTTGCTTATTAATGATTTTCACGTCTTACGGAATTGTATGATTAAATTTTTTTCCAAAACTCTGTTCACTAGTAATTACCTATATGTTAAATTATTAATTAAGCAATACGATTATTCACATACTTTTGGCAATTTTTATGAGCAAAAAAGATGAAAAACGTCAATACCTTAGAGTATCACATTCGTGACTGCGATAATTGACTCAATTAAATAAAGCTATACTCTTCAATAGACATTATCTCCCCCAACATACATCATAATGAATTCTACAGAAGGGTTCTTCTCAAATTTTACCAAGAATTCTATGCATTACACTTCATAGCAGTATTAGACAGATTATGGGAAGTTGAAAAAACGTGTTACCATGTAATTTGGTCAAAATCACTAATTAAAAATAATTTATTTCACTTACTTTTAAATGTCTTTCCAGTGAATGTACAAAAGCTTTCAATGATTCCGGTTCATACTCGTGTCCATCTTTCTTTTTCGCGGTAAGTACAAAGTCCTGTAGTGTAATACGAATAAATTTAGGAAGTATCTGAATATGCTATTCTCATTTACTGAAATGATTATTTATGTATAACAGGTGATTTAACCATTGACTTTCTCAACACCCAAAGTTGTCTAGTGTTAAATGTAAACTGGAGGTAATCAAACCAATATATAACAGTTGTCGATGAAGTCATTACTTGTTGAAATGAACCATTTGCGAGAATTTGTAAAATACCTAGTTAGGGCTGAAGAAGTTAAGTGGTACCGGCTGAGAAGCCATTCACTTAACTTCTTCTCTTGGATGATTTCGAAGCATAATTTCTAAAGAGTCTTTTACAACTCCAGATAACCAAATTCCTTCAACTTTTTCAATGTTCATCTTGTTAATTTCTGATTTTTTATGTTGTTGCAGTATGATAAATTGAGCCAATATACTGTGTATTAAAACAATTTCAATGCAACTATTCAAGTTTGAAATAGTTTACGGGTAAGACTATAATTTATGGACGATCTTTGAGCGGCGCTACCGTGACCTTGGGAATGTCCCTCTACTTATTAGGGTCAAATGAAGGTAATAAAACAGTTTGAAGAATAAGGATTATTATTTACAATTTATGGTTAGGGTTAGGAATTAGATTTATGATTTCTCATCACGAACTGATACCAAGACACTATTTGGACAAATGGGTGAATGAATTAGGGGGCCAAAATCTAAGATCTGTCTTCCCAAGTCTGATTGGTTCGTTCATAAATTATAGTATCTCCGATTTACATTAACTAACTTAAATCCCATATGTATATTATGTTATAAAATGATACTTTATTCAATATCATTGATGAATTATTCTAAGACACTTATTCTAACTGACTTTCACTTCACTTGAAGCTGATTTCCCAACGAAACAGTTATGTTCAATGTTTCATAATTTTGAATGGTTTCTTTACAGCCAACATTAGATCATGACGAGAATGTGATGAGACCATCTTTAAATTATCTAATTTAATACTATAATATAAATATCTTATCAAATAAAAACTATGAAATTTCTATACACATGAATAAAAAGGTAAATAATTACTACTAATAATAGCTTTTACCTATATGACCTCAGACATAATAATTTAACAGTTTTGTTTATCTGTTGTTGTTTCATGTACAATAATGTTCAATACCAATTAATGATAAAATAAACAAAATTATTAGAACATTTATTTATTCCAATCATTTTTTTTTCTCAACTTAAATCAAGCCTTATTACTTATTAACTGATCGAAATACAAATTAATAATAATAATTTTTATGAAAATAATTAAAAAAGTATGAAAAATCATATGGATATATAAATAGTTGAACACTTCTTCATGTATACATATATACATACAGATGTTTGTGTTCATGTATCCATGTAAATGACTAAAGATGATTTAATTTGAAAAAAATTACAGTGACCGCTAAAAAATTATTATTATCATTATTTTTATTATTACTAATATCAATATCTTGTATCCAACGAAATAGCATATGATTTCATGTTTACACTTTTCTATCTCAGGTATAATTTATAAATAAAAGAATAGAAAATTATTTAACCCATATATATATATATAACTATAGTTTTTACTTATTTAAATTAATTCTAAATAACTGATTAAGTTTGAGGATGTAAAAAATAGTTTGTAGTTTATTTTATGGTTTTGCAGGTAATGGTTGAAAAATTAACTATCACTGTTTATTAATAACTATACAATTGAACATGCATAATATACATATAGACTCGAGGGTTGACAGATGGTTAAATCTCAAACACCTGAACCGACAGAAATTGATTAACACTGAAAACTAGGCAAACATGACGTTGGTTACTACTCTTAATAATCAATCTAGATATTCGTTATGGAGTTGTGAAGATTGTGAACATTAACTCTGAGATACATGCACATCCAGTTAACGAGTCCCGAATAAAACAAAACGCACGTCAAACTGTATTCCACTGCTAGCCACTATCAACAATTGCTTATAAAGCTTGTGACTTAAGGCAATATCGAGGCATTCTGCACAGTATGCACATATGCCGACAAGAGACTGAACAATTGCAGTCCTAAACATCAATGAGAAGATTCAAGCAAACAATACCAAGTGAATTGTTGAATTTTATTTAAATTATGAACCTATCTAAGTTAGATCATCATTGAAAACCTGGAAGTTTTGGTCCTGGGTTCGATTCTCAGGTGCGGGATTGTGCATGGGCACTGCTGAGAAGTCTCGTGCTAAGACGAAATGATCATCCAGTGCTTCCAGGTTTTCAGTGGTGGTCTATCTCAGACCAACTCATAAGTTCGGGGAAAATTAATGTTATTATCTCATTCGTATTAGAGATCGGTTTCGACACGATAAGATCAGTGTTAACATTTCAGGGTGTGAAACCGAGTGGTCTGTGCTCAAATCCATCAGGAATCACCTACTTTATCAATATTTCATATACTACTTACTGAAATATCCCAACTAGAACGAAATCTAAGTTGATCGTTTTCTGCCAATTACCTTTAAAACTCGTGCAATGGACAAGCATTAAAAATAACAAAGTTTTACGAATGATAACTTGATACATAATTTCCTACACATTTTTTGAATTATTCCTTTTGACGTTTTAGGCATTAATTTTTAGTATAAACTTCTATTTATTGATAAGTATATGCCTTAATTGATCATTGAGTAGTAATTGATTATATGTTTATCTAGTTCTTAGTCGTGTTCGAATTCTTACTACTAAATTGGAATGTGATGGTTAGTTTAAGTGATGCAAAATCATGTGTACTGTACCTTAATGCTAGGAGTTTGACACATTAGGTAGCGAACCCTGTGTGAATCAAGGTTTCGTCTGTAATTATGAAGGGACTGACACTTTCTGAGAGTTTCGAGCCCGAGTCATTCAATTTCTCAGTCTGAGATGTTACCACTGAGTTGTTCAGGTTGTGACTGATCACCTGTAAGGCAAAAATGACTATATTGAATAATTGTTGAGTGTTAATTATGCTTGTCTATAACATTGTCTGTGGCAGTGAGGGATAATAAGTTGGGCCCGCACGCATGGAATAATATCATTACTCAACAGTGTTCGAAAATTGAACCAAATCATGGAACTAAACAAACTCAAGTTTCGTCATGGTATGAATGGTTTTTTAGCAGCATCACACCAGTAAAACTGAATAAATATCACATTGTATTCTAAGTTCAATGTAGATGTTCTACATATTTTCATCCAATAACCAAATAACATCTTGCTTCGAAGTGTGTGTTTTGTATATCGGTGATGAAATTAAGAAAATGGGATAAGTCTAACTTAACTTGTCTTACGTTAAAATTTCTGACATATCGGGAAAGTAATCTGCAACGCCGGTCAATCCAACATAAACATCCAGGAAGTACTAAGATTTTCGTCGGTACATATCCACATGAGATCGAACCCAGAACTTTTCAGGTTTTGTGGGTAGCACTTTTAAAAATTTAAACCACTGAGTCGGTACTTCGTAGTTTATATTTCCAACCTTAATCTCTAATCTCCATAACAACACCATACTAATCAAAAATTTAATAATCAAACCTACTTGTATATAACTGTCTAATTCATGACAAGGTATTTGATGAATTTCTCGTGTGTCATGTTTAATTTGTATTAAATATCTATGTATTACTTTCATATCAGAACGTGTTTTTCTTAATGTATTGTGTACAGCACCATTAATATGTATTGTACTACCAGTAGAAGTAATAGAAGTAGTAGTATTAGTAGTCGAATGTGTTTGTTGTTGTTCCGGTGTAGAACATGGTAAATTTTGATCATATAATTCATTCGATACATTACTGCATGTACTATTATTAATATTACAACTAATTGTATTGTTTGCATTTTGCTGAACTGGACTATTGATATGATCATATGAATTATGGATAAGGTTCTCCGATTCCAATGCAGTCAACTTGTCAATATTTTCTTGTTCAATGTTCAATTTATTAGGATTATTATTATATTCAAATGAATATGAATGTGGAGTATGATGGAAGGTTGAACAAACAGGTGTACAGTTAACACTCCAATGATTATCATTTTTATTTATTGTTGTTATATTACTAGTATTAGTAATGGTTGTAGAAAGATTAATACTCGTATTATTATCATTATTGTTTGATATAGTTAATTCAACATGTGGTGATGATGTTATTGTTCGATTGTTATAGTGATTATTGAAATTTTCAATATTCAATTTTAAATTGTTCCTTGTTGATGAACAATTAATATCATTGATCTCTGTTATTCGTTCGGTAAAATGGGTTTTATTATTGCTATTATTAGTAGTATGAGTGGCAATATTATTGTTAAATAATGTTTGATTTTTCTCTAATGACTGAATTGTATGCTTAGCATACTTTTGCAATAACTCGTTATTGTTTAATTCATTATACGAAGATTTTAACAACGATGATGATGAAGAAGAAGCAGGATCAAAACCAGAAGCTGAAGAAGGAGGCCACAACATTGGGAAATGTGGAAATAAATTGAGTAGTTTCCAAAAATCATTATTATTTTGATCTAGAAAATTTTTTTTAAAAAACGGAAAAAGTCGTGTAATTTCTCTCATGTGAAGCTACAGTGATTGTTGTGATATTCAATTTTAGTTTGGAAAATTTTCAAAAATATCAAGAAAACACAAAGATGACTGATTTGTCTTGGTATTGGAATAATGATTTGTGTGTATACTCATCACGTTAACCAAAGATTGAATTTACAACTATTAGGTTTCATGAAATAATGTATCGTCATTATGTAATTCATTTAACAAGCATAGGTTTGTGTACACGGCTCTGAGTTGAACTTTAGGTGTATGAGGGCTGGTAAAAGCATTATAAAATGAAGTAAGAAGAAGGATTCGAGCCTTCTACCTAACATCTGGAAGCTAAGTACTTCAATCATTAATCCATAGTCTGAGTCAGGATTTACTGGATCAGCATTTACAATTTTAGTCGATTCATAATAGTTCACGATTATTATTTAGTATTATTATTGATAATGCCTATTATACTCAGGATATGGTACTTTTTATACTGGTCGAAAATACTGATTATGACACACATGATGAATGTTACGAATAATCTAAGCTTAATAGACCCATCTATAGCCTATTTTCTTAAAAATTAAAATAATATTAATCAATGTACTAATCTAATGACTACTTCATACTACTTAATGAGTAATAGTAATAATACACCTGAACTAATGAATATACATACATCGAGTAATCATCATGTAATTTAAAATAATAAATCAGAACAGAAACTCCAAGTTTTCGGAAAACGCAATAATACATATATATATATATGGGTAATGAATTCTTCTGGTTACCTTTATAATGGTTAAGCAAGTTATTGTTATAATAATGTTACTTATTAGTAGTATTTCATAATTTAGAAAACAACTTTGTAACATTAACGTTATTGATAATGTCAAAATCTGAATTGCTAAATATCGCATTTATCTAAATGTGAATAAATATATATGATCAGATATGATAATTGTAGATAAATTTATTATTTTGCACTGATAATTAAGTGAGGGAGGGAGGGAAAGAGAGAAAGGAAAAATACTGAAACTAGTAACGTTTATCTCACAAAAAGCGTGTACTTCCTCTCTCTCTCTCTCTCTCTATATATATATATATATATATATATATATATATATATACATATATATATATATATGTTTTTTCTTAATTACTAATGATTAGGATATCGCAATGCGAAGCTGTATTTACGCGAACTTGCGAGGGCAGACAACTGACACATAACAATCCACGAATGATCCTTCAACGTTATGGAAGCCAAGTAAGAGTCAGTAGATCAAAGAAATTTTGTTATTCAAGAAGACTGAACTATAATCGGACACCTATGTGGTCATAGCAACCAACAATAACCTTGGAACCATTAACGCAATCATCCAACCTAAAGTGTAAATAACTAATCAAATAGTAACGAAGGCTATTGAGGGAATGTAAATCGGAAACAAAATATCATCTCAGCTATCTCAACATACACATGAAAGTTATCATTTTATTGATAAAAAATTCTAAATAACCTGGAGTCTTACTGATATGTGTCGATAGCGAAAAATGAATCATTATCAAAAAATGACGAATTTATGCCTAATTCATTGCTTTCATATGAAGTGGAGATTTAAATGTTTTGACTGTGAAGTTTGTATGGGTTATTAGATGTCATTTTAGTAGTCTGATAATCAATTGTTACACCTTGAAACCTGAAGGTCAGTGGTTTAATCCTTGGTTATGAGTCACAGAGAGACAGGGTTTTGGTTCACTCAATGGTACTATGATGTATGCCAATATGTAACTTAAAGAAATTATGATAAACAGGTATGTTTCTGTGTGCATACATAAACGTATAGATACATATTCAATAGACTTTTATTTACCCAGCGATAGTCACAATTGAGTATCTCCCTTTTACTGGTATTTAAATAAACAATTCGATCTAGTTATTTATTAACGAGGTTTTTAGATTGATGTGGATATATATTCGACTTACTTTTGACGTTGAACTGGTGTAATAAAAGGGAAAATAAGTCAGTTGGTCTATAATTACAGAGTTTATTAATATCTCAGTCACAATTGTTGTAATCACTACTAATATTATCGTTACTACTAAGTGAATGAGTCAAATCATGTATGTTATTTGTTCATCATGATCTGTATTATAATTTTTTTGATTTAAAAAAATACTGATAGCCAATAAGTTGAGATTTCATGTTTAATTCTGTAATTTGTGAAATATAAGGATTATACACTTAACTTTGCGACATAATTTTTACACAATTAATGGTCATACTACTTTAATTAACTACTTAATGGTTGAAAGCTGAATATTTTCGATTAATAAGTCATCATTCCACAAATTTTCTATTACATTAGTTCATGAATCCATGAATTATTGATTTGAACAATATTTACAAATTCACTTAGCATTGTTTGTTTGGATCTTCCCATCGATGTGTTTAGGACTGCAACTGGTCAGTCTCTAATTGGCATATGTGCATACTGTGCGTATTGCCTCGATATACCTTAATTCACAAGGATGGTAAGCAGAGATGGATAGTGGCTAGCAGTGGAATCCAGGACGCGCGTTTCGTCCTATTTGGGACTCGTCAGCTGGATGTACCTGCATCTCAGAGTTGATGTTCACTCTGGGACTCGAACCCAGTACCCTCGCTTCAAACGCCATCGCGTTATCCACTCGGCCACTGAGTCCTAAACATATCGATGGGAAGATCCAAACAAACAATACCAAGTGAATTCAAACTTCACCCTATCGCACAAGCAAGTGGCTATCAGGACTCAGTAGCTGAGTGGATGATAACGCGATGGCGTTTGAAGCGAGGGTACTGGGTTCGAGTCCCAGAGTGAACATCAACTCTGAGATGCAGGTACATCCAGCTGACGAGTCCCAAATAGGACGAAACGCGCGTCCTGGATTCCACTGCTAGCCACTATCCATCTCTGCTTACCAATATTTGCAAATGTCAATCACCGATTTTTAGTTTTTGCGGTAACTATGATTAGTAGGTGAAGATTTTGAATATTATCGCATAAAATCAGTCACAGTTGAGTAGATCCATTTACTCTTTATACTACTCTAATTCTTACGTTCCAGTGTCCACAAAGACGTTGCGTTTCACTCTTTCTTTAAACTATGTTCCCAACGTTTAGCTATTCCCTTTATTATTGGTAATATTGTGATGTGCTACTGATGTCGACAGATACATATGGTATGTATCACCAACCGAGAGTTCAATGCTTGGAAGTAGAAGGTTCAGAAAATCGAAGAGAAGAGAACAACAACGGAGAGTGATTGATATAGAAATGAAAGAACGATGAAGTCCGAGACAACTGATTGACTTTCTGCAAATGAAGCATTTACTGCATGATTCTCAAACTTTATCAAGATATTCTGTCATGTTGTATTGAGATACATTTGGTTGTTCTCACTAACGTTCTCATTCAGTACATTATGATTATTTAAATTCTCCTGTCATCTTACTACGTTTACTTAATCTCTTCATATGTATGCGATATAAGCGAAACGTAACACATAAACTCAAACCCCATTTCTTGAAGTCTATACTTTCCGTATTTTCTTTTTTTTGATTATTCAGATAACATTTTAGATCAAAATAAAAAACTACTTAAAACTTTAAACATATAATTTAACCATTTTAACTAAATTAAAAATTTCATATATCTTTCTTAATTATTATTATCGTAATTGAAATGAATGTAACAAACTGTAATAGTGGTCATTGTTATTAAATTATTGGCAACAATTCTCTATAAGAGTTGATTGATAGGGTAAGTTGAATAGCAGTGGGTTTGTTTTCTTTACTTTCTATAAAAAAATGAAATAATGTGTATGATTTTTTTTATTTTTTAATGTGTAATATATTAATTTTCATGAAATACTTCATCAGTATCCGGAAACTGGTATCACTCTAACCCACATTAACAAGAGCATATATATATATATATATATATACCTTGGTTATGTTAACCTTATATCTTAAAAAGATAGATAGATGAATGGGTGAGGTGGATGGATAAGGATGGTGATGATTGAATTATAGGCTGAAAGTCCAATTTTTTTTGTTTACTGAAAATCACTAAATTAAGATTTTTACATCTAAAGTCATATATATATATATATATATATATATATATATATATATATATATATATACGGGGTCCTTTTTCATACACAAGAGTATTGTCTGTTCAGCTCACTACCATTACTATTAGTAGTAGTAACGGTAGTGGTATTATTAACTGACATAAAGCATTAGTTTTAAGAAAAAACCCTTATAAACTTTATGGTTTCATTCATTCTCATTAGGGATATATATTTATATATACAAATATTAACCAGAAGACAGATTATCATTATTGACAATAGTAATAATAATAATAATAACGCTTGTAATACCACAGCAGATAAAAAGCATATATATCCACATATACACGTGTGCGTGTGTGCGTGTCTTTGTTTGAGTAGGTGAAATCACAGAGGAAGGATACGAGAAGAAAAGTATAAATAATACGAATAACTTTGGGGGCATATACTACCACAATAATACTAACATTGATAATGATAAAAGTAAGGGTAGTAATAATTAATTTATTATACTTAAATGATAAATATGTATATATTCTTTAATGCATTCCCTATCGCCTACGTATTTTCATAATAATAATATTCTACCTAAACATTACATATGTATCGTACTGTGGCCTTTCATTAGATACCTTTCTTTTTCATCTTGGTTTAGTCAAGTGTTTATACATAAAATATTACAACTATACACATTGATAAACATAGATGAATACCTGAAGGAAAATACTCTTCTAGGCACTTATATATTACTAGTACCCTTGTTAGTAATAACAGTAGTACTAGTAGTAGAAGTAGCGAAGATAGTAAGCATTTAAGTGAATTCAAGATATCATTTAAAAGAAGTGAACAAATGAACAACTT